AATTAATACTACGTGGTAAAAAATTTAATACCACTTAGTATTGAAATTATTACTATGAGGTATAATTTCAATACCGGTTCTACACCAATATGGTATAACCGTTTAATACCAAGGCGATAGAGTCACGTATCAATACTGTTAGTTTTTTTTCAATACCAAGTTTCTAAGAGTGTACAGATAAATACACACTAAAATCTAAATTAAGTACAGTAATGGGAAGTCGATCAGTTTGGCGAAAAAATTTCGCTATAAAAATCTCATTTGGCGAAAATGGGCAACGTTGACTTGCTTAAGTGTATACCTTACTCAGGATTTAGGGCATGTAGTTTACTTAATATGAAATTGAGACTGTATTCACTTTACAAAAGGGCGACATTATTTTTAAAAGTGTAATATATATATAGCTAGGATTCGGTTACTTAAATATGTACACTTGTAGCACACGACCAACAAATTTATGCCAAAATTTGTGCGTTCTCAGTTATGTAACAGAGGATAAGGTATGAATAAATTTATTTCCGACACGCTTTGTCATTCGGGTTAATTTATTCGCTAGGTTAACGATAGTCACAAGGAAATTTATACAGTCAGTCTGGTTCAAGTGCCGGGGGCTTGGAACTTAGGACAGGGGAAACGTCACCCAAAAGTTCCGATCCCCTGGACATTTTAGTTATGCAAGTTACAGGGAAACGGAACCCACTTGTCGCAAGATTTAGCGGGCTTCGATTCCCCGGTACCCTCTTACGCGAAAGTTACGATTCCCCGGAACCCAAGATTTTTCTTCGATTTTTCATAAATTGGATATATTTCAGGAAAAAAATTTGATTGTCTCAAATTAACCTCCAATAAATAAGGAACATTGGATAAAAAAATTAGATTTTTTATAGTCGCGCAGGTTCCTAAAATCACAAATATCTGACAAATTTGAGGAGCGGCAAGCTCAAACAGGTACGGGGAATCGTCACCCACCAATTTTTTTAAGGGAAAAATACAATTATTTTACAGTTATTGTTATAATTATTACGTTATTATTATGTTACAATTATTTTTCCCTAAAGATAATTATATTTTTCGCAGAAAATAATTGTTGGGTGACGATTCCCCGTACTTATTTGGGCTTGCCGCTCCTCAAATTTGGCAGAAATTTGTGATTTTAGAAACCTGCGCGACTATAAAAAATTCTAATTTTTTTATTTAATGTTCCTCATTCATTGGGGGTTTATTTGAGACAATAAATTTTTTTCCAGAAATATATCCAATTTATAAAAAATTGAGGAAATATCTTGGGTTCCGGGGAATCGTAACTTTCGCGTAAGAGGGTACCGGGGAATCGAAGCCCGCTAAATCCTGCGACAAGTGGGTTCCGTTTCCCTGTAACTTGCATAACTAAAAAATCCAGGGGATCGGAACTTTTGGGTGACGTTTCCCCAGTCCTATGTTCCAAGCCCCCGGCACTTGAACCAGACTGACAGTAGTATTTGCAGGATGTATGTAATTCCGATGATTTACGTATACACGTGTGTATAATAAAGGAAATGCATGCAGTATTTATACCTCGACGAAGTCGGGTAAGGCATCATACACATCACCAGAAACCAAATATTTTCCCAGTACAGCTAAGGAAAAAAGGTAAATACATTGATGAATAAAAATTATTTGTGGATTTATTTGCCAGTCTATATGTGCATTTGTATAATATGTACATTTTGACGAATATTCATAGATTTTTGATTTTCATTTATGTCGAAATCTACACTCTTAGAGATGGGGTAACGATTATAACCAAAAAGTAAGCGTATGTATGTTACTCTACCGCCGCTACAAAATCCAGAGTAAACTTTGCCCTTTATCAAGGAAAAGATACTGTGGATTTAGTATACTTTACCTAATACATATAGAATTTAGAGTGGATATCTAATGAATTATTTGCTAAGCAGACTTTTTAGAGTTTATTTGTACCTGTACGAGTAGGAAGGAAAAGTTGCCTTAGCGTGACATTTAAGTTCTTAAATGAGTTTTCAATTTCACGACTTTTACTAATTTAGTAAGGTGCTCTATGTAGCTTACTCTGATCGTTTCAAGTACCAAGTCCATGAATAGCGAAATAAACCTTTTTTTCAGTTTTTAGCGAAAAAGAGTTTCGTTTCGAGCAATAGAAGCATATTTTAAGGTTTATTTAAATCCGCACTGTTTTGCGAACACTAAATCCTTTTCCTGCGAATACTTACGAAGTTGCCATGAATTTATCAGCATTAATGTGAAATTCGGACAACACGGAATATTAGATAAAGATAGACCATCCAAGCGTGCCGTGGTTTTAGTTCGATTAATTACGAGTTAATTGTCACGCGCATAAATTATGCATATTCACGATTTACGTATTGGGATAGCCGACCTTCCTGCGCGAGTAAGCTACATATGCAGATACAAATTGTAGATTTGATTGCTTCATTTAAATACCGACTTCCTCTGCTTCCATGAAACAAATAATTTGCACATACTTCCCGAAATGATGGAGACTTTTAAACATTACTTTAAGCACATTATCTGCATTTCTTAGAGATCTTATGATCGTCCATTTGTAAAGCATTCACCGATAAACTTCCACGCTTTAATTGGAAAATAGAAATTTAGCATCGTTCAAAATTCAAACCCGAACCCGTATTTAATTAGAAATCGACATATTTGCATAAATAAAATAAACACAATTATTAATTACATTTTCAATTTTGTGTGTACTAACAATTAGGGTTGCCGCGGGTAGCGAAAATGCTACCCGTTACCCGACCCGTTACCCGCTGCCCAACTACCCGTACCCGTTACCCGCTACCCGTTATAAGAATTAAGTTAAAAACTAACCAACCTTCAGAATATCTCTGATTTAATCAATTATTTCCTCATTTGGGTTGTTCAGTAGTTTGAGATAATGCTGTGCAAGTAATGAATGCGATAATTTGCTAGATGTCATTAGATGTTTCTAAAACCAAACTTTTTGGCTTACAATGGAACCTTTTTCAAGCTACACCTGAATTTCTTATATCAAAATTATATCAAAAAATCAAGCCAAAAATTAGAAATTATCACTTATCTTCCCGTTGAATATCCCGTTTAAAGAAAACTATTGGGTGGCAGAGTTCAAAGTTAGCCTTAGTTTTCGTTAAGTGGAGGAAAAAGAAGCAGAACATTTACTTAAAAATTGAATTTTGCAGACAATATTTTTCTTCAAAGTGGGCACTCAACGGAAAGTATCACGCGATTCCTAATTTTTTGCTGGACTTTCTGATATAAATACTCGCTAGAGAATCTTGGTGTACCTTGAAAAAAGGTCAATGTTTAGTTTGATTTTTTGAAATTTTGACTTCAATGAAGTTTTCATTAAAAAAATTGCTACCAATAAAATTTTTGCTTTCAATCTGATTCAGAATTTTCATCTTCAAAGCATAAATTAAAATCTCGTTGGTCTTACAAAATACATACACACAAACACAAGTCAAATTATTATGACAACTGATATTTTACAGCAGGTAAATTACATATACCTGAGAATTACTGAGAAACAATAATTTATCCGCATTTTCGGAACGTGAAAAGCATTTGAGGCTGCCGTAGGCTTCTGTGGTTTCGAAAAAGACACGCTCGCTATAAACCCTAGTTTATGGCAAATTTTGAAGTGATAAATATTAAATTGAAGCTTTTGTTGGTAAATGCACTAACTTGCTGCTAACTTTCTTTGTGAACTGATTTATGTCGGAAATTAAATAAAAACTGAACTACCCGATACCCGTGCGGATAGTTCTCGCTACCCGCAGATAACGGGTACCCGCAAGAATCGTGCGGGTATGCGGGTAACGGGTACCCGACCCGTTACCCGCGGCAACCCTACTAACAATCTTACCGAATTGCTTCGATTGTCATGCATTCTTATCGTGCTGTAAATATTTGCACATTTGTTTTAGAAAAATTGCGTTAAAATGAATCTGTCATTAATATGCTATCCAAAACTTTCAATTTTTAGCCACACTGCATATGTAATTAGTATGTACATATATACCCTGTTCAAATAGCATAAAGATGAATATTGACTATGCAAAAATTTTAAAATTTCCTGATTCCAATCTTTACTTGCGAAGTACATATTTATTTCTAATAATTGTGAGGTAGTTAAAATTGCATAAAATTCTTGGATTTTCCACAGGTACCACGTCACCTTGGATTATGCATGAATGAACAAGTATTAATTTGTGTATTGTAGTATTACTACCCATCGCTTCTTCGCCACACAGTGTGAAATATTGCATTCTGCGAAATAAATACATACGAGTCAAGCTCAAGATCAGCAAATGTCAACAGTTTCATTACTCAGTTACTGCCCCGTTGTGAGGAAGTATTAGCATTAATTTGCACAAGGTTAGGGGCCTTGCATGAATTTCGTTGGGCAGTAGAGTTAGCAGGGTTACAGTTGTAAGCATATCTGTTCAAAAAATAATATTTATGCATAGAATTAAAAAATATTTGTTCATTATTCATTCAAAAGGTTAAAAATATTTGCCCATTATTAAATAATTTGATATTCATTTTACATCAAATTTTCTCTCCAACATGAAAAACGAATTGAATTATTCATTCATTCATCAAGAATATGAAATGAGTACGTATTCATTAATTCGAAAAAATAGACTCATTACGTATTCATCAATGTGTTAAATAATAAATGAATAATTTATTCACTCTGTATTAAATAAACGAGAACTTTAGGGCGGCCTGCCGTGTTTCGAGCCACTGGAATTTTCCGTACCGAAATTTATGAATGGTCCCTCCCCCGTACTTTATTTCTCGTAGTGGACTCAACTCGTCATAAGAAAGTGTTTCATGTATGTATTTATTTATGTACCTGACTCACTTTCTAAGAGTTGTTAAATTTTATTTGGTCGCACATTTGCATGATAATTTGTTTCCAGGTAAGAAATTTGTGGTCTTCTTGTCTGGACAAAATTTGGGATAAATATGGACGCAGTGGTTGAATTATTGTTCAGTTGAAGATTGCAATCGTGTCAGAAGGATAGTAAAAGCTTGATTTTTTTAAATCGCAAATTGAAACACAAATATTTTCTCAAAAATGTCGACCATGGTTAAATCTTATCTTTGCATCTTGCTTTGCCTCGTGCTCGGATTGAGTTGTATAAATGGAGGTGAGTTCAGCGTATTAATCTAATTGAAATTAAATCTAGTTTCGAGTATTTAAGTTACATGAGGTGTTTAATATAAAATCTGATTAATTGTTATTACGTAGCTCCGCAATGGGGAGGATCGTCGTCCGCCAGTGCGTCTGCGAGTGCTAGTTCGGGCGGATATTACCCAAGTGCGTGTCACTTATCATTTGATTATTCGTTAATCGTTACTTAATTTTACAATTTGAGACTTGTCTTAAATTGTGTTAAATTGTGAACGTAATCCCAGACAATTCTCGCAACATTGTTAAATCCTTAAATTGTGTAACTTACCAACTTTTGCAAAATTTTAAGCAAATTTCTGAAGAAAATGTTCTGCAGAATTGGCTTGCAAATTTTTGCAGACTTACTCAGATCAAGAGCGTCTGTTGATTTTGTAAAAGTTTGTAAACTTATTTTAAAAAACGCACGGATTTTAACACTTATGTGCGTGAATTGACTCATTGCATTGTCATGATTCCATCACTTATCTAAATTGATATGTAATGGTATCTTGATATACCTTTGTTTCAGTTCGTAAAATTTCATTTTTTAATATGCCCTCATCACAAATTAATAAGTTACTAAAGTTACATTTTGATTGCAGGTTACGGAAATTATGGCGGTTATCGGCCAGGAGGATATTATGGAGGAGGGTATCCCGGTTACAGTGGCGGATATGGAGGTAATTTAGTAGATTATTTAATAATTAGTTGGACTTTTTAAATTACTTAATTCATTTACATTTTAACAGGATACGGTGGATATTATGGACGATAAGGAACTCATGTAATACCAAACTGCATATTTACATATGTACATACATCAATCAAACCTACTGCGTACGAAATTTATAACGAAACACTTATGACACCTGAATAAATGAAATAACCAATTTTAAACACGATGGACCTTCAAAATTCCACACAATTTCAATTAAGCATTACTTGTACTAGTACTATTACCTATGTACATATTTACATACATGCCACATGCACTGGGTGCCAGTCTTTCAAGCATATTCACATTTGCTACTCATTTTTAACCTATCACAAATTATTAATTGCGCATATTTAGTCTTATCGGGTGGAATTCAATATACGTTAGGCAATGCTTAGGCAAGAGAAATTTGCCTAAGCAAATTTTATTTGTATTCAATATTTGTTGCTTAGGCAAAATTCTAAGCAAGTGCTGAGCAAAAAATTTATGAATTTCTGTATTCAATATGCACAAATTCCTAAATTTTTTGCCTAAAGTTATTCCAGCTCGGAGGTGGAATAACGACTTGCGTAACTTTAATTTAGTTCAAAAAAATATTTATTTCTTTAAAAATGGCCATTCCATTATTTGTCCTGAACAATGAGCGCAATCGGGTTTATAAACAACGTCGACTCCTTGAAAGTCTCTCCGAATTTGAAATAAGGAAACATACTGGTTTGCCTTGGTGGGGAGCTCGAGAGCTTATTGAGTGGATTGAACCGGAAGTTGAACCACTGGCACGGAGAAACTACGCGACACCGGCGGAGACGAAAATTCTTACAACATTGGGTTTTTTTCGATCTGGGTCATTCCAATGGATGCTAGGAACTGTTTCCGGAACTTCCCAGCCTTCGTGCAGCCGAATAATTGCGGAGGTACGCTTAAAAAATGGTCTTTAATATGTTGCAGTTTGAACTTTATTTCTTGAACTCTATTTATTTCGAACACGGTCAGGTGTCATCTACTCTGCAGGGTCATGCAAATGAAATGATCAGATTCCCAGCAAGTGTGGATGAACGAAATATCGTGTCAAACGCATTTTATCAGGTCGCAGGTCTACCGAACGTGATTGGCATTGTTGACGGAAGCCACGTTCTTATAAAGGCTCCAACTGACCACGGCGGAGTTTACATTAACAGAAAACAGCGTCATTCCATTAACGTACAGATAATATGCAATCACCAGGATAAAATAACTGATATCGTAGCGAAATATCCTGGTAGCAGCCATGATAGCTTCATTATGAGGAACAGTGCGATTTGTCATCGGTTTCAGCGAGGAGAATTCGGTAACAACGTTTTGATAGGTAAATTATATAACAAATACATTTAAAACAATTAATTAATTAAAAATTAAAGGTTGAAAATTAATTAAAAATTAAAATTAAAGGCGACAGTGGTTATTTTCGTGCACCATACTTGGCCATTCCGTTTTCGAGGAGAGCGGCATTATCAGTCGAGCAGCAATTATTTAATACCGCATTGACAAAAACTAGAAGCAAAGTTGAACGATGCATCGGATTGTGGAAATGCAGATTCAGATCAATGCATAAGTTTGTAATTCTTTCATTCATACGTGATCGTATTTTGATTTAATTTTCCGTTAACTAATAGATCGGGAGGCGACTTATGCTACGAGCCAGCAAAAGTTTGCAAATTGATCACTGCCAGCGTCGTTTTGCATAATTACTGTGTAAATTTCGGAATTCCCTTGTTGGATGAAGATGAGCATCAGTTAGAACTTATTATTCACGGTCTGGCTGAAGATGAGTTGGATTAGCCTAATTAGTTTAGTGGTGGTTTTAAGTAAGTTTTATACTAGTGTACACATGTGAAAATTTACGTATTTGTTATTCGTGTATTTAATCTTGGACCAAATTTTAAGTACATACAAAGTAAAACCTGAAAAACAATTTCTCATATTAACGCAAACAAAACTATTGATAAGTCTTCTGCATTTCGAGTTATTTATGTGATGACTCAAATGAGAATGTGAGCGGTGGTGGTTTTGAATTGCAAGTCGGCCAAATCCCTGAAATAACGTCGAACAACAACAGGGTCGTCCAAGAGGAAGTAGTTATCGCCGTGTTGGATAAGATTTTACAGAATATGTCTCGATAAGTTCAATTAATAGTTAAACTAATTAAATTAACAGCTCTTTACTATCCTGACCGGGTGCTGACTTTCCCAATTTACTATTTTATGAATCTATGTGTCGCGCTATTACCGCACTGCAATCCTGCCACCGACTTAAAGGACCCGATCACATCCATCGAATCTCATTGTTCTGGTAGGAATGCAATCACCGGCTCATGGATGGTAGCAGTGAATATTTGCAGAATTTAACCATGTTCAGGATGATGGTTTTGAAATAGAATTCTGTAAAGGAAAGTGTAATTTTGCAATGAATTGTAATTACATACAACGTAAAACTTGAAATACAATTGCTCATATTAACAAAAATAACTGAACACGAAATTAATTGAATAGAAATTTGATGATTAATTCAAATGCAGCTGTTCACATCTGAAGAACGAACACATTGACCATCTGTTAATTGGACCACATAGTTCGGGAATTGGGACGATTCAAATTTCTTGCGCTTGAGTTTCAATTTTTCTTCCTCAATATTGTTTCGTTGCTGCATGAGATCACCAATACGCTTCAGTTCCTTAACTTGAGTTTCCAGTAAGGTAACTTGACGTGTTTGCAGCTGGTACAACGTGGTCTCGGGAAGCTTGCGTTTTGTGGGGCGAGGAGACTCATTTATTGACGGGTCTTGTTCACTTCGAGAAGATGGAGTGCATCGTGGGACGTGATTTCGGGCGGTAGTTGTCTTCATCGTAGGTTTGTCTGTAAAACGAGTCACAAACTTTAGTATACAACTAATCATGTCAGTCAGTTTTAAGCCTCACCACTGGAATCGAATCCTCCAAAAATTCCTTCGACTGATACCGTAGGGAGAGTCGACAAAATTTTTTCCTGTAGGTCGTCGAGTTGGGACAACGCACTTTCACCGCCACCGGTCTCATTCAGCTCTCGTTTATTTGCGGCCCCTTTAGCCTTGACCTCGCTCTTAAGCTGTTGGTACTTCTTCTTAATTTCAGATAGCTTTCTTCCGCCAGGAACCACACCCAATGCGTTGACCTTGAGAAGGACTCGCCCCCATGCTTCTGATTGAATTTCAGGAGTCATTTTCGTGGTGAATTGGCCAAAAAGTAACGAAAGATTTGCAACAATTTCATCAACTAGCACCTCCTTTTCCAGAGAAGTGAAATTTGGACTCCTTTTGGCACCTTCGGTCTCTAAAAAAATTATCAATCACATTAATTAAGACAATTAATGTGACTTTAAATTTATAATTTAGCTAAGTTTATGGAAAAGTGGTCACTTACTTGTGATATTACCCGTTAAAGTGGTAAACGCCATTTCGAAATGCAATGGAATGATCGAAAATGACCATAAAAACTTCAATAATTAGCCAGTCAAAATTATTGTAGGGAATGTGGTGTTGATGGTTTAACCGAGATGAAATAAGATGCAAGCAGCCGACCGTCATAATTTTTCATGATTTTTTTCAGTCCACACGAGGTCACAGATTTTCGTTGCTTAGCCGTTGCTTAGAATTTGCGTAAGTTTAAGCATTCTTAAACTTACGCATGCCTAAGTCGACTGTATATTGAATACCAAATTTTGCTCAGCAAAAACCTTGCTGAGCATGTGCTTATCTACGCAAATGCTTATGATAGCGTATATTGAATTCCACCCATCATAATTTTAAAAAATATTTTCCAACATTTCTAGTAGTTAATCACGCTGTATGTGCGTGCAACACACATTGCATAATGTGTATTCATACATATGTTTCATCGAAAATGTCACTGCATCATTATATAAGTTTATTCAACCACAAACAAAATTTGGTAACATCTAATTTAATACTTTCAGCCAAATGGTTCGCCATTGTAGAAAAAGGTTTTGTTCAATGTTTCTTTGTCCAGCAAGACAAAAATGCATGTATTTGCAACCCCACAATTTTCAGAGCTTTGTATAAATTATATTTATAACCTATTCTTTTCTAGTGACGAAATTATGTATTCAACAAATAAATAATGCCATTTATACAAAAATGTATATACAATTTACGCTAACAAGTCGACTATAAAATTCACATTTTCTAATTTTAACATTCACCAAGGACTCCTAGATTTACTGATAATTTTACCATGACAGGATCAAATTTGCCACTCATTTCTCACATAATTTTAATCCTAGTTTGCAAAAGTGTCCAAGATTTCCCCACCTTTAAACACGATCCGAATTGTCTCCTACAAACGGCTGTAAGTCGTCATGAGGGAACAAATTCCTCAAAAAACAGCTCTACCTCTAAATTCCAAGATCTGCAGGACCACCACTTGGCTTCCGCCCATTCGAGCGGAATAGTTGTTAAGCATTTACTACGGATGCCATACCTGCGAAGAAAAGACGAATTTCCTTCGTGGAGATTAACCTGCGTGGAAATTGTGGTGTTTGATAATTCCGGTGATTTAATTACCGTTTACCGCGAGGAAGTCGTAAATTGGGGGATTCGCAAGAATGTGACTATCTTCCTTGCCCTTTCCCCTACAAGTGTACGAGTTTTGGTCCGTTCGATTTTTTTTCGCCAACTTTACACCTTGCGAATCGCAATCTTTCTAATAAAAATTGGCGAGTTCTTCGTACAAGGCACATTGCTGGCTCCAATTCCTGGATTTCACTTTTCACAAGAGTATCCACCACGGGGGAAAAGCGTGTTCCCGTCTGCACATGAATTAACAAATTTGAGGAGTTTGTTTAATTATAACCAGAAAATGTATAGATTGCCGCTAAATATAGGTTGGATAAGAAATCTTTACCGAGGTGATTGCGAAATTCAGCGAAATTTTATTAGTGTTAATTCTCCCTGTTTTGCCGCCTACGGTCCATTACTCGTGGTCTCGCGAAAGCTCAATTTTACATTTAGCCCGCAAAGGTAACACTAATTGTTCTCTGTAATCTCAAATTTTACCTAACAATATTTTAAGTGTGAATACGCTATTACGTGGAAATCTGGTATAGTCATGAAGATAATAAGTTATCGGTATTAAAGTGTCTACTGGTTGGTTTTAAAATTATTCCGGTCCGTAAAAATTTCCCACCGACATGGTAAAACTTTAATACTGACCAATCATAAGACTGTATTTCTTATTTGTCAATATCACTATGGTACAAATACCACGTGGTCAGATATCAATACCGCGTTGTATTATTGCGTGATTCCTAAGAATGTATTGCTGTCAGTAAGAAATAAAAGAAAATAATCTATTCCCTCCTTGCATACAGGTCCAATCCCTACATTCTGTTCAGGCTGGGATTGCAAGCAAATCAAGTACAGCTTCTTAGGGGGAAAGAATTTTATATCGAAAAAACACTTGATAATTATGTCCTCTACTGTCAGAAAAATCCAACCGTTTCTTCCGTAGTGATCTGGAATTTTTTCACCATCATGGACGTGTACGTTTGGACTACTTGTCTGATACTTTCTGCTATTTTGAGAGTTTTAAAGTTTGGTCAAATTTTCGACTTGGGGATAGCCTTCTGTAGACAGCCTATAACTCGAAGGTACATACATATGAAACAAATTTGGTAGTCACGACTTACCACTATGGAACACAATTACTATCATTTAAAAAAAGTAGTGGTAATCTATGTAATTTTTGGAGATTGCGAATTATGGTTTTCGTTCTCAATTTTTAAGCAAAAAGCTAAATTTGTGAACGATAAACTTACCGCTTAGATATGTACGAATTTAGTTTAACAACCCCTAATTCGCACTCTGCGAAATTCGAGAATTGCAAATTTTACAATGAAGAAATTTTAATTTTGATATAAAATTTAATAATTTAATACGCTGCATAGGAAACTATCCTTCGTTGGGGCGCTCGCGATTTTAGGAATGACCGTCCTCAGCTCGTGGTATGATGCCTGTGTCACGTGCCACATCACAAAACCCCTCGAAAAATATGTGATCCGCACCATTAACGAAGTTTTTGCCGATTTCGGTTTTAAATTCTATCCAAGATATGACTACCGGGATTCGGATATGTTTAGAATGTCCCTCCGACGGATTGATGGCGATAGACATCTCGTCAAAGAAAGTATGTAAGAAATATAAAGGATTGAAATTAAACCAAAATAAACTAACAATAGTGAGATGGCGCCATGGAGTATTTTTCGCGACTATGATTGTAATCTTGACTGTAGTTGCATCACAATAATATATTTACACTAAAAATTTCAGTAGAAAAAATTACTCTCGCGCAATTTCTCTAATATCCTTCTTTTGAACGCGGGACTAATCTTTTGTGACAGTAATTGTACTATTGATTGTACATACATATACCATACATATGTAGGTGGTCCCTCTACAATCCAAATTACAATCACAATCACACAAACATATGCTCAATCTCTCTAATAACTTTCCACTCACATATATTCAGGGCTTCCACAATCCCTCACAAGATTCAACCAACTCTCTGGGGCCGCAATTTTCGCTGATGAAATCGCATTCGAACCGAATTCAGATCATAAACAGGATGTCCTCCACTTTCTCAAGTCAACCTACCCCAACGTCACGTGCAACCTGGTAAAAGAAATCTACCACAAGCAAAACGTCGTCTGGGAGTTCCGCTACTTTGGAGCGGGTCAACTCTCCACAATTTTGCAAAGGCTGAGTTCCAACGGAATATTCATATTTTATGATAAGCTCTGGAAATACGTGGATCAACGGTATGCCCGACTCCACCCGGTAGTCGAGCATTTGAAGATTGGCACGTTTCAGAATCTGATCGTAGCATTTCAACTTTATGTAGTATGCATGCTAGGGACGGGTTTAAGTTTCGTGGTAGAACTTGTCGTACTGGGGCAGAGTAAGATTAGATTTTGTAACCATAATTATGTTATGCCGATTTCAGATAATCTAAATTTTTTAATTGTAATTTAAAGTAGCCTTGGGAAGTTGGGAAGCGCTCTTTTTTTTTACTTATTTATAACAAGCGCCTTACAAAAGTTTTGATCTTATGTAATTAGTGTGCAATTAAATATTTACATATAACTCTGTAATAATATTGAACAAATAAAATCTAAGTAGAATATTAGTAGAAAACAAGAAACTTTTTATTTCGTCCATATTTCGAATGCTATCTAGCATTAAGTATTAAGACATGAGTATACATAAAAGACGAAAAAGATATTCAAAATTATGAAAAATTTCAAGCGACTACATTCAACTAAAGCAGGCCCCGTTTAAGGCATATGCTAGCTAGGCAACACCCTAGGGCGCCAGATATTTGGTTGGCCCCCTTCAATTTTGCGAAATTTTATAGATAATTTGTCGTGGAAAAGACATAAGAAACTAACGTTTACTGAAATCTGTGGTACGAAAATTTATTTGTAAGTACTGTTGCCAAACTTTAACATGAAAATCCTTTCAGATAAACTAGCAATTTTTTCGTAGCACCTATTTACAATGCAGAAATGTGAGGTGGTTGTCTCGAAATTTGGCTGGACCATTGGCTAATTCGTAACGCGCACAAATAAGCTTATATGTATATCTACGTAACACTACCAGATTTTTATCTACCTACAAGAATGCATAGTTATCTTACCTAAATAAATAACCCCTTTCACACATCCAGCCCTGACAGACAAGACACTTTATTCTAAAACTCTCATCACATTCCCCCACCCAATCTCAAAAATCCACAAAACCCCCGCACAAACCCAAAGCGACAAGCAAACCATGAAAACAGCAATCAGTACATCAATCTCAATTGGTTTTGCCTCGTTAAACGTAGAAGCAAATTTTCCCCGGCCGGCCAACGTTTGCGCAAAAACCTTGACTCGCATTGATTTACCAATCAGCCCTGCCGCCAGCAAGGATGCCTTAAACTGTTCCGATTTCTTCCACTTGGTAAAAATTCCAGACCCCACTAATTGCCTCATTCCTACCTTTAAATACCCAGAGAAAACATTTTTCCTCACTTCATTAACCTCCATCAAGGTAAATGGCGTGTCATGCGTTCTCTTTGGTACGAATAGTTGCCCCTTCATTTCAACCGCGTCAGTTATCATGCTCAACCAACCTGGTGTATCAATTACGGCAAATGTTTGATTAACCCCGCGTCCCCCCGAATTCAAGGGATCCCTGCCGGTCAACAATTTCCTGCTGGAAGAACCTAACTTTGTGTAAGACAGGGTCCCATTTATTTTAGCAATTAGAACCGCCAATTTTGAATTTTTACGCAAATTTAACATCATCCCGGGTATTAGGGAGGATTTTAAAATAGACCTTTGTACACGTGTACTTCTCTTATTTTTCGTTAACGTTGAGTAAGACGACGAGGTTA